CTTTAACTGGTTGCACAGATATGTTAAATAGCTGTGGCCATGCTCTGAGCCAGGGGGATGGAAGGGACTTCCCCCCAAGATGTAACTGGGGGGCAGGTCCCCCAGGTTTCAGCAGCTGTGTGAGAGCTTGAAAAAGATTAGCTCCATGACATGGGGCCACACCTGCCCAGACTCACTATGGCAGCCTAGTAAAGCTGAAAAAATATGGGAGTGCTGGCAAGTGTAGCCAATTGTGGGAGGAGTCAGAAATGAGGCTGCGGAGGAAGATTGGCACCAGGATTTAAAACCAGATTTGGCAGCCATCGAAGGAAGAGCCACATGCTTCTGTCAGAGTGAGGACCCCTGCAGCCATGTGAGAAGACAGATCCACGTGCTTTTGGCCAGAGTGGGAACCCCCTCAGCTTTGGTGGAGAGAAGAGGACCATGCTGTTTTGGTCAGAGTGGGGACCCCTGCAGCTTTGGTAGAAGAGGACCACACAGCTTTGGGGTGCTTCCTTTGGACATGTGGCCTCGGAAGCAGGAGAGACTTTGCCTGGAAGAAGGGTGAAAGAACTCTTGCTAGTAGGCCATGAGAAGGTGCCACATGGCTTTGGATTAATTAGAGATCCTGCCTGGATGGCGACAAAGCTGATGGTGCTGGCAACCTGAGTTATGAATGCCTACTATTCCTGAGTTTAGGGTACCCCAAATTAGGGCAGGGGGAGAAGGAAACACTGTGGATGTCTGTGGGTATCCTAAAGGACTTTGATATTCTAATGAAGGCATTAGGTCACTACTTTAAGTCTGTATATCTTTAAATAAACATTTCTTTTCCTTTTCACAAGTGTCTGGCATTGAGAGACATCTTTCTTTTTTTTTTTTAAAGATTTTATTTATTTATCTTTAGAGGGGAAGGGAAGGAGAGAGGGAGAGAAACATCAATGTATGGTTGCCTTTCATGCATCCTCTGCTGGGAGCTGGCCTGCAGGGAGCTGGCCTGCAGGGAACCGGTCTGCAACCCCAGTATGTGCCCTGACTGGGAATCGAACCTCGATTGTCTGGTTCGCAGGCCCGCGCTCAATCCACTGAGCCACACCAGCCAGGGCGAGAGACATCTTTCTTAATGCGGTGGACAATCGAACCTAGTGGAGGGTCTTTTCAGTAATACTATATCGTACCCTCACCTTTGACCTTGCCCTTGCCCTGCGTTCTGTAACACCACCACAACACCCTCCCCAATCAGCCCCTTCCTTTAACTAACACCATCCTCAAGATCTCAACTTTTGTGTCCCCTACTCAGTTCTACTGGACCAGTTGCCCTTGTTATGAGAGTTTATAGTGGCATAACTTCTTCATGACCCTTTCACAGCTGTCATTAAGTTACAGTGTAAGTGATGTCATCTCCACCCAAACCCCCTTTACGGCTCAAAGAGACTGGTGTCCTAATAGTACTTAAGAAGTTTTGGGGGGGAGAAAAAGTAGATAAAGAAATGCCAAGTCCAGTCAAAGCTTTGTTTGCCAAATTTCTTAGAATGAATTTTACCAAATTACAAACTCTTGTAAAACGAATCTGTAATGGAAATTCTGACAGACTTTTGCCTAACGTGGCATTGTTGGGTGCTGCTGTGATGCTAGTGTAACGTAATAAATTATTAAACTGTTGCAAAGTGCTGTTTTTGCCTTAAAATTTTATTTTGTGCATCTTGAGAACTATAGTATTAAAGGTACTGATATTTGTGCAAATTCTGGACACACTTGGCATGAGATCATATGTTTTTATTTTTACAAAATTGTAATATAACTATGCAAGTGTGTTTATTAAACGTTCTGTTGAAGGCCTCTAATTTTTAGAAAGCTATTACTTAAGCAAATACACAAAGAAGAAAAGAAAATCCAGAAAAAAGGGCATTGTACTTCTCACCAACTTCCCTTGAATTTAACTGAAAAATTCAGTTAACTTTCTCTTGAAGTCAACTGATAAAGTTTTGATCTCATCCACAAAATATCTACTTAAGTAGCTGTAGGCCATCATCATCCTGTCTACTACACCCTCTGTTGAAGCTCAGCATCCATCCAGCCCCTGGAGGGCCATTTATTGATCACCTACTCTGTACCATGCATGCTCTGGCTGGGCATAGGGCCTGAGTCTTATCTCTTTCCTCATAGACAATCTGATCTCTATACCCACATCTTTCCCTTGGTGGGAAAGGTGTGCTATGTCCCCAAGCAAAAGCTGTGCTCTGCCCAGAGTGTCTGCTCAGTCACAGCTGCCCAAACTGCCTTTTCACACTGACCTACCTGGCAACACTGTTAACGCTATGAGAAACAGCCTCATGTCTTCTCATCTACTACAAGCCTAGCTGTTCCTTTCTCCTACCATGCACAAGTCCTCTGTAAGAGTCTTCTTCACTATGGATTGTAGTTCTGGGTCTGTTCTCACCTCCCCCATCTATTAGAATACTTGAGAGACCAAGTAATGGTCATGTCAGCATCCCAGAGCTTTGCATCAATCCTTGTACTTGGGGGCCAAATAATAGATATTCTTGAATTAAAGTATGAGTTGGGAATCTTTGCAGGAATTTATCGTCCTCTTATCTTGGACCCCTCGTGCAGAATGCCTCCACTAAGGAGATGGGATTTGCTTAGGAACCAGGCTTCCGTGGCCCTAGTCTTCCGAATGCGGAGGCTGTGCCAAAGAAGAGAACAGTCAGGGCTACTGTCAACTGGTATGGCTCAGTGCCAGACTTATTGACATGTACCATTATGTCCATTCTATTTTATTTATTTTTTAAATTTATTTTTAGAGAGAGGGAGAGAGAAAGAGAAACATAGACATGTGAGAGATACAACAATTGGTTGCCTCTCACATGGCCCTAATTGGTGACCTGGCCTGCAACCCAGACATGCACTCTGAATGGGAATCAAACCAACGACCTTTTGGTTCACAAGCTGGCACTCAATCCCCTGGGCCATACCAGCCAGGGCATTATGTCCATTTTAAAAGTAGAATGGACATAATGGAATCTGAGGAATCTGAGGCCCAGAAAGTTTCCCAGGCCTGGCAACCTCAGTGGTAGCTCTGGGTGGGATTCCATGCCTGGCTCTCTGACTACAGGGTCAGTGTATTTAACACTGCGCTATATTAACATCTTGGTCCTTGGGGATGTTCCAGTGACCAACAAGGTTGAGCGTTGGGACATGGCTCGGGGCATCAGGGCATTTCCAACAGGACACACTGAGGGGAATAAGGCCTCCTTGTTCGGACGGGGTACAGATGTGAAGCTCCTTTGGGAAAAATGAAGGAATTCAAATGTTTTTCAGGTAGCTTTTTCCCCAGAAATCCAGAGGTGCAGAACTGTGAGGGCTGTTTGTGAAAGTGTTAACAATAAAACTTCAATGGCTTGAAGCTCTTGTATTCTATTTTATTTTTATGTATGTATTTATAAATATTTTATTTTGTTTTAGAGAGGGGGAAAGGAGGGAGAAAGGGGAAACATCACTGTATGGTTGCCTCTCACACGCCCCCTACTGGAGACCTGGCCTGCAGCCCAGGCATGTGCTCTGGCTGAGAATCCAAGGCAGAGGGACCCTTTCATTCACAGGTGGCACTCAACCCACTGAGCCACACCAGCCTGGGCAGCTTATTTTCATTTATTGATTTTGAGAGAGGAATAGAAGAGAGAGAGAGAGAGACAGACAGACAGACAGACATTGATTTATTGTTCCACTATGCATTCATTGGTTAATTCTTGTATGTTCCCTGATTGGGGATCAAAACCACAACCTTGGCACATCAGGATGATGCTATAACTAACTGAGGTACCCAGACAGGGTTGAAACCTTTTTTAAAATAAAGTTTTTTTCTGAGCCATATGCTAGCCAGAAAAGGATCAGGTTCTAGGGCAGGAAATATAAACCAGCGGCTGCGTGGCTTGGTGAAGAAAGCTACATATCCACAATCCTAGAGTAAATGGGCTCTTTTGTTAAGGTTTTATTTATTTATTTTTAGAGAGAGGGGAAGGGCAGGAGAAAGAGAGGGAGAGAAACATCAACGCGCGTTTGCCTCTCACATGGCTACCATTGGGATCTGGCCTGTAACCAGGCGTGTGCCCTGACTGGGAATCGAACCAGCAACCCTTTGGTTCACAGCCCACACTCAATCCACTGAGCTACACCAGCCAGGGCTTATTTTCTTTCTTTTTTTTTTAAATAAAGGTTTTATTAACCTGATAGTCTCTTTTATACATGCTGTTTGGGGGAAGAAAGATGTAAGCTGTTTAAAAGAATTTACATTGGTTACAGATGGGAAGGGGAGAAGTGGAGATAGTTCCATGATAGGTGCACAGTCTACAAGGAAGAAATATTTGCTACTCTGATTAGTTACAGACAACCATCCTAAGTGTTCATGCCTGCATAAGATGCAATGTCCTAGTGGTTGGATAGACACCTAGAGGTTCATTCAAAGCTCCAAAACTTTGGGAATGTGAACAGTCTTTGTTAGTTGGTCCACAGCTACTAACTGGTTAACTATTCCTGTCTCACTCATTCTCTGACCCCTGTAATTTCATTTAGAACATTTCAGAATTTTTGTCTTGCCAAAGCATAAACCCTACCCCATGCTCTGGGACTTTTGCCTTTTTTGTTAAAAAAAAAAAAAAAAGTGAGTTGCTAATCAATTCTCCTTCAACATAGGTCCAGCCCTTCCTTCCTAGGGCACAGGAATTGTGTTGGGGGGAGGGCAGGGGAGCACTAGGTGCAAGTGGGAAAATTGTGTTTCAAATACCTAGTTCATTTTCAGGGTGGGGAAAGAAAAACTGTAAGAGCCAGTGGCTTGGTCAGTGTGTTCCTGTCAGATGCCTCTACTTAAGAAAGATAATACTTTCTTAGTCAACAAAGTTAAAAAAAAGAAAAGTCAGCAAAAAATTTAAAAAGGGAAGGGGAGTTGTTCTCTACATAAACTTCCTTCCCTGGAACTTAATTCCACCCTCGGAGTCAGTAGATGAAGTTTGCAATCTCTTCCACAAAAGATCCAGGCAAATATGGAAGGGGAACTGGACTTAGATGATGGGAGATTAATAATAACCACCAAGACTAGGAAAAAGTCAAAGAAATAACACCGTTTGTGTCACTGGGACGCAGGCGGGGGAGGCAAGAGTCCTGGTAGGAGGCGCTGGGGATCTTCCTTTCTCCATACCCACCAGGGAAGCCGGGCGCGCCTGAGTCATCAGGGCACTGCCCCCGGCAGAGCACGGGAGAGGTCCCGCAGACTCCTTCCTGTTACACCCCTCCTCCCAGCAACATCATTCATCGCAAAATTTCCCAGAAGGGTGTTAAATGAAGTGATGAAAAGTGGTGGGGAGTGACCAGGGTTCACAGGGGAGGGAACGAAGTGACATTCTTGGGGTTATATAAACTCTCCGAGGCCGCCAAAGGGTGTTTGGAGGCTGCAAGCTGGCTAGTGCAGCAATAGAGGAAAGAAGCTGAAGCCCTTCCCAGAGCCAGCCAGGGACGCAGGGGCTCTGAGCACCCCTCTATCGATCATGGTGAGCATTCGGCCTTGGGGCTGAACCCGGGCTAATCGGGGGATTCCAGGGACTGGCTGGGCCGCCCTGACCTCCGCTCTCTTTCCAGGTGCGCGCACCCTGCCCGCCGCCGCCGCCGCTGCTGCTGCTGCTGCTGCTGCCGCCTCTGCTTCACCTCTCTGCGGCCACTACGGAGCCCTGCGAGATAGACGACGACGACGTGCGCTGCGTCTGCAACTTCACGGATCCGGAGCCCCAGTGGTCCAGCGCCTTGCAGTGCCTGAGTGCCCTCGAGGTGGAGGTCCACGGCGGCGGCCGCAGCCTGCAAAAATTTGTAGGGTTCGCCGACACCAACCCGAAGGAGTATGTTGATTTGGTCAGGGCTCTGCGCTTGAGGCGACTCACAGTGGGCACTGCACAGGTTCCTGCTCCGCTTCTTGTCGCTGTCCTGCGTGGGCTCGGGTCCTCCCGCCTCAGGCAACTAACGCTCCAGGACTTGGAAGTAACGGGAATGATGCCGCTGCCACCTCTGGAAGACATTGGGCCTGCACTTTCCACCCTCAGTCTCCATAACGTGTCGTGGGCAACAGGCGATGCCTGGCTCGCCAAACTTCAGCAATGGCTGAAGCCAGGCCTCAGAGAACTGAGCGTTGCGCAAGCACACTCGCTCGCCTTTCGCTGCGAAGACCTCCGCACCTTCTCCTCCCTCAGGACCCTGGACCTGTCGGACAATCCTGCACTGGGCGAGCGCGGACTGGCTGCGGCTCTCTGTCCCAATAAGTTCCCGGTCCTGCAGGAGCTAACGCTGCGCAACGCCGGGATGGAAACGCCAAGCGGTGTGTGCGCAGCGCTGGCGGCGGCGGGTGTGCAACCTCAGCGCTTGGACCTCAGCCACAACTCGCTGCGCACCACGACCCAGGGCGCTCCCGCTTGCACCTGGCCCAGCGCACTGAGCATTCTCAACCTGTCGTTCGCCGGCCTGGAGCAGGTGCCTCAAGGACTGCCGGCGGAACTCAGTGTGCTTGATCTCAGCTGCAACAGGCTGCACAGGGTGCCGCGGCCAGAGGAGCTGCCCAAGGTGACTAGCCTGACACTGGACGGGAATCCCTTTGTGGAACCGGATGCCTCCAAGTACCAAGAAGTCCCGACCTCTGGTGTGGTCCCAGCCTCTGCATGTTCAGCCCTGGCCTTGGGGATGTCAGGAACTGTTGCGCTGCTTCAGGGAGCTGGGGCCTTGGCCTAGGAAGACCCAGGGAAGAAGAATGGATTGGCTCAGATTGCCCTGGCTCTGGAGGAGCTTCGGCAGGACGTCTCTACCAACCACTTTTCTGCCCATCTTCATTAAAATCTTAAGCAACGGCCCTTGTCATTCACTCAACAGATGTTTGCTGTGTGTCTGCTAAGTGCTGGACAAAATGATGGATGGGGAATCCATTATATAGAGATTTTCTTCACCCCAATTCCCCAGAAACCATATTTGCCTAAGCAAAGAACTTCAGAGGCGGAAGACTCAGGGGGACGCTGCCTGTCTGGGGCTGTGTGGAAGAAACGAAGGGTTTCTGTACAATCCAGGCTTTTTGAGCAGATTACTGGTACCTGTGTAAGAGGGTATTTGTAAACATAACTAGGATGGTACAGAACGTTTTCTTTCTGGTGCATTTTTCACGATCCAGCTGGTCTCCCAAAAACAACAAAAGCCACAGCCACTTGCTTCCTCTCTCTGTCTCTGAGACAGGAAGGACAGCTGCCAGCTGTCCTACATTAACTCTGAGTTCCTTAACTTTAAGATACCTCTCCTGCTCCGTAAGTCTCCTCTGCACACACAGGCATGCTGAGTGCTACTGTGATGTCTGATGGTAAATTCGGTCATGGGGAATTGGTGCAACCATTAAATTGCCTCTGAACTACAGATCTTGTGATTAGGTTGGTATATACTGTATAAATAACTGTTTCGGGCTGGCTCTTTGATTTGCAAATAGGATAACGTCTTAGACCCATTACAGGGCAATTAACAAGACCGACCCCTATCTGCATTATCTCAGAAACCCAGGGTATCAGCTAAGAGGCGCAGTTCCTTCTAAGAATTCCTTTTCTACTAAATCTGGGAGGCAGCCCACTCATCAGAGAGCTAGATACCTGCTTCACAGGCTGGGAAGAGGCATGCAAGCACAGTCCTTCAGCCTGCCTCTTTCCAGTGTCCAGAACCACACAGATAGGACTGGAGAATGAAAATTAGTATTGATAGGAGCATTACAAAGGTCACCGGACCACAGACTCAAAAAATCATGGGGACCACTAAGTAAACTGCCAACCTCAGGCAGGAAAACCCAGTGGAGTACTCTAAAGTACTCCAGTCCTAAAGAGGACTTCATCCAGCCTGTTGGGACATTTCTAGTATCAGAGAATTAACCACTTTAAGCAGCTTCTCACATTGCATAGCTCTGAGAACTCTTCTCCAAACAGTTACAGAGTTCCTGTTCCACCTCAGGCTCTGTGCTAGGAGCCTGGTGTACAAAGATAAATCAGAAAATTCATGCCCTTGGGGAATTCTCAACACAGGAAGGAAGACACACAAAAAAAGATAGTTGTGATTCAATGATGGGGGAGGATCAACTCTGTAAGGGAAGCACGGTTCTCTGGAAGGCTGTACAGATGAGAAGACATTTAATATGGGTTTTGAGATATTTACTATGGGATGCACTTCCTCAGGAAGAACATCCCAGGCAAAAATGGGTAGCATGTTAAAAGATTCAGAAACATGTCCTGGCTGGTGTAACTCAGTGGATTGAGTGCCGGACTGTGAACCAAAGGACCGACAATTCATTTCCAGTTAAGGCAGGTGCCTGGGTTGTGGGCTAGCTCCCCAGTGGGGAGTGTGCCACAGGTAAGCACACACTGGTGTTTCTCTCTCTCACTTTCTCCCTCATTTCCCCTCTTTAAAAACAATAAAATCTTTTTTAAAAAAGGATTCAGAAACCTGAAAGTATATGGCCAAACCTGGAAATTATAACTGACTAGGTAGGGCTAAAAGCATGATGATGGAAGCTGGAAACACTCATTCATTGAAGTGCCTATTGTGTGTCATGCACTATGTTAAACCCTGTGACTATAACAAAAGTCAAGCAGAAGTTCTTGTTTGTATGAAGTTCGGATTCTAGTTGGCTGGTGGGGGTGAGAGGAAGACAATAAATATCTCAAACTTTGGTAAGTGCTCTGAAGAGAAAGGAGACAGAGTGTTGAGAATCGATATGTTATTAGGATTGTTAGGAAAGGCCTCTCTGATATGTGGTTTTTAACAGATACCCAAGTGCATTGGGGGAGAGAGCTTGAGGATATCTGGGCGAATAGCATTTGAGTCAGAGACAACAGCAAGGACATTCAAAGATCCTGAGGTCTTTGAGACGGTGGCGGAAGGAGAGTAAGCAGGGGTGTTAGGGAGAATGGTGAGAGATGCTAGTAGAGGTAGTAGCAGGGCCAGATCGTGCAGAGCCTTGTAAAGCAATCCTACTCAAAATATGGTCCAAAGCAGGGGCCGGGCTGCAAATTGTTTATTACTGCACTATGAGGAGATAAGTAAAAGAGTCAAGAATAAGCATTTTATAAATTTGTAAAATTTTACATCGCAGCATCATTTCTATCGTATTTTACAAAAGTGTCATCTGCAATGGATTGGAACTTTCAAAATGAAACTTGGTGCTCTGACCAGTGTGGCTCAGTTGGTTGGGCATTGTCCCACAAAGCAAAGGGTCAGCCAGGGCGCATGACCGGGTTGCGGAATCAGTCCCTGGTCGAGGTGCATTATGAGAGGCAACAGCTTGATGTTTCTTTCTCACACCGATGCTTTTCTCCCTCTCTTTCTCCCTTCCCCACTCTCTAAAAAAATTAAAATAAATAAGATCTTTAAAATGAAGAAAGTTGGTGTCGTGTTTGAGAAGCACTGTAAATATGGAGCATAGTAAGGACTTTGACTCTTGTTCTTAGTAAGCTTAGGAGCCATCTCTGTCCTCTGACCTTAGAGGGAAGTTTTCAGTCTTTCACCACTGAGTATGTTATGTTCGTTGGTTTTTAAGATGAGAGAAATAGCATGGTTGTGGACAGGTGGGAATAGTCCAGTAGAGAAGGAAAACTTGATGACTCAGGAGAAAGAAGGGAGCCGCACTGGAGGACTGTCCTTGAGTAGATAAAAGGAACTGGTACCTAAATTCCCCCGTTGGAGGGTTGGCCTCAGTGCAAGCATGGAAACTTGACCAATGTATAGTTCAGGCTAGAAGGCAGAGCATATCTGGGCAAAGATGTCAGTGGGTAATTGTGGGAGCAGAAGTCTGTGGAGCTTCTATGAAACTGAAGTTCTAAATAAAGATCTTCACATGGCAGGCACCTTCTCATTGTTCTCAGGATTCAACTCAAATGTCACCTTACATGAAGAAGCCCCCTTCTGCCTCATTTTCTTCACAGCATTGATCTCGAATGGAAATCATCTTCTTTACGTATGTCTGTTTTCGTTTGTTTAGTACTGTGTTGAAAGCTCCCCAAAGCAACAATTGTGTTAATCTTGTTGAATTATGAATCTTCGAGCCCTGGCTGGTGTAGCTCAGTGGATTGAGTGCAGGCCTGTGAACCACATGATCGCGGTTCGATTCCCAGTCAGGGCTCATGCCTGGATTGCAGGCCAGTTCCCAGCAGGGGACTCGTGAGAGGCAAACATACATTGAATCTTCAGTCACTAAAACAGTGCCTGGCCCACAGCAGTTGCTCCATAAATTCTTACTAAATAATTAATTGAATGAACGAGATGGGTAGGCTGAGGCTTTTATTGTTGCTATGAGTTAAGAAAAGACTGATATACTTCACTGAAGTCAAATAAAAAGATTTGCCTGACTGAGACAAATACCTTAGGTGTCACGGTTCCAGTGGCAAAGGATGTAGTGTGTTTTTTTTTTTATCTGATGGTACATAACAGCCTAGGGAAGGATTCATTCATTCCAGATTGGGGGTGGGTGCACAGGGCAGCTCAAGTGAAGCCCAAAGATTGAGCAAATTGCTACTGATGAGGGCAAGGCTGAAAAATGTGTCCTACACAGGGAAGGAAGTGAGATAAGAAGTGAGAGATGGACAAAGAGAAGCAAGGGACCCATTTCCACACGGCACAATAACATCAGATATCCGGTGTGGTGTGAGTGATTTTGTACTGCAAGGACAGGATTGTAGGTCCTAAGACTTCCTTTTCTGAGCCAAAATAAGTCCCTCTATAGCTTCCTCTTTTGTTCCTATCCTGTCCTCTGGAACCAACTGGATATCAATTTATTTCCTCAGAAATTCTTGTACCCCGAGTCAAGAGTTTTTGTTGTCTCCCATGGAGTCTTCTTTTCTCTGACAAGCACCGCCCCCGCCACTTCTTCTAATACTCAGAACTCCCTTGTTGTCTAGATCATGGAGACTCTTTGTAAGCCACTTAGAATGATCTGGAGTAAAAGATACTTGAACAATGACTTGGATATTTGAAGATCTAAAAACTCTTCTAGTTTTCACCCTGGCTGGTGTGGCTCAGTGGACTGAGCGCTGGCCTGCAAACCTAAAGGTCATTGGTTCAATTCCCAGTCAGGGCAGATGCCCGGATTGTGGGCTAGGTTCCCAGTTGCGGGTGTGCAAGAGGCAACCAATCAATGTATCTCTCACACATTGATGTTTCCCTCTTTCTCCCTCCTTTTCCCTCTCTCTAAAAGTAAATAGAAAATAAAATAAAACAGACGTAATAGTACCTGTCTGTAAGAAAAGTCTTTGGCACAGAGACACCTCTATCGCAGTGGCCCTGATTGTTTTCTTCTTTGTCAAAGCCTCTCATTCAGAAGCCTAGGGCCACCCACGTGCTGGCAGCTGGTTCAATCACACTGATGTTCCTCTCCCTCCCATTCTCCCTCCTTTTCCCTCTCTCTGAAAATAAATAAATACATAAAACATTTTTAATTTCCTAGTTTTCTTTTTTAATATGGTACACGTATGCTAGGTATGATATTGTGGTTACATGTGAGAGAATGCTTGATAAAGTCATTACAGGAGAAGGAAACTTCAGTTCCATGTCTGCTGTGAATGTGGGTACCCCAACCAAATGCTAGAAACCGACTCCGGCAACATATAAGAAGATTTACACACCAGTGGCCAAGTGGGATTCACCCCAGCAATGCAAAGTTGGTGTATATGTATATGTACATGTGTATACTTGCAGTAAACATCCTGAAAATGAAACTGAAAAATTTTATTCACAATAGTATCAAAAAGAATAAAATACTTAGGAGTAAATACAGCAAAAGAAGAGAAAACTTACACTTCTATAACTACAAAATATTGGTGAAAGAAAGTAAAGAAGATTTACATAAATGGAATAACATTCCATTTTGATGGAAATTAATATTGTTGAGATGTCAATTCTCTCCTAATTAATCTAGAGAGTCAATGAAATTTTTATAAGAACCTAAGCTGATTTTTTGAATCAGTCGACATGATGATTCTAAAGTTCATGTGAATTTCAACAGGAGCTAAAAAGATAAAATAATCTTACATAAGAGCAAAGTTGGAGTACGCATTCCGACTGATTTCAAAAATTACTGGGAGGCAACAGCACTTGAGACAGTGCTGGCGCTCCCTTCTTGGGGCTCGTCCTCCTGAATCTCCTTTTCGAGTGAATTTCTTTCTCCTAATCTTTAAGGGTCCCCGTGAGACTTGCAGCCTGAGGAGCAATGGGCAGCGGCAGCTTGTTCAGGGCTGATACCCTCAACCTGTCTCCAAGGCCCCTTTTCTCTGACTCTCCAGTGGGCTGACAGCAGACCCGCCTCAGCTCCCTTCTTTCCCATGACACTCCCAGACAGCCGAAGCAGCCCCACCTGGGCTCTCTCCTGTCGCTTCTTCTGCTCC